CCCAAAGGAAGCCCCACACCCTTTACACAGTCATTCCCCATTTACCGCCCACCCCAGCAACCACGAGTCTCTGTCTCTCTGGATGTGCCTATTCTAGACATTTCGTGTGAACAGTCACTCTGTTAGTTGTTTGTGTGAATTATCCATCACAGTGTAACAAATGATCCCAAAAGTTGCTTAAAAGCAATGACATTTATTATCTCAAAGTGTCTGTGGGTCCCGAGTCGGGGTGTGACTTAGGCGACTAAGCCGTGACTCAGGTGTGGGCCAGTCCTTTGCCACATGCCCCCCCCCCACGGCACAGCCCACAACACAGCTGCTGGCGCCATCGGAGTGAGTGAGCGAGAGGAAAGTAGAGGAGTGTGAGCAAGACGCGCGTCACAGGCTTTGTCACCCAGTCTCGGGCATGACAGCCCATCGCTTGTGCTGTGTGCTGTTCCTTAGAAGACAGTCACTAGGTCCAGCTGGCACTCAGCGGAGGTGACCGCACAAGGACTTGAACAGCAGGTGGGGGCAGCTGTCTGCCACGTTATTATGATTGTTAAGTCGTCACAATCAAACACTCCTCCCCGGGCTTGATGGCTGTCTCCTTGCTTTTCCCCAAGATGAAAGACCCCAGGCCCCAAGAGCTGAAGAAGCTCACGGAGTGACTTACTGGCTGGACACCAGGGCCCTACGTGAGAACTCTTCCAGCCAGACAAAGCAGCCTCCGGAAACCTGTGTGTACACAGTCGGGAGACCCAGGCCCTGGGAAGGAGGAGCTTCCGACAAGGGAACGGGACGGGAAACTGGGGGCAAGGCAAGAGGGGCTCCTTTCCTCAGATCTCCAATGAAGAGATCTTGTTTCCTTCTTTCAAAAACTTATTTTTTTAAGGTTTAAATGAGAGGTATCATTTATATAGAGTGAAATGCACAAATCTTAAGTGCACAACTCAGCAATGTTCTCTGTCTTTCTCATCTATCTACCCATCACCCATCCACCCATCCATTTATCTACTTATTATCTATCATCTATCCATCATCATCTATGTATGGTATCCATTTATAATGTCTCTATCTATCTATCTATCTATCTATCTATCTATCTATCTATCTATCTATCTATCTATCATCTATGTAACTCCCTTAGTATAACCACCATCCAGATAAAAATATAGAATATTTCCAACATTCCAGAAAGTTCCCTTGTGACCTTCTCCAGTCAATTTCCACTTCCTCCTAGATAACCCTGTTTTCTGATTTTTACTGTGTATGAGTTTTGCCTGTTCTTGAACTTTATATGAATGTAATTATACCACATGTACCCTTTGTGTCTTGGTTTTTTTTTGAGACAGAGTCTCACTCTGTTGTCCAGGCTAGAGTGCCGTGGTGTCAGCCTAGCTCACAGCAACCTCAAACTCCTGGGCTCAAGAGATCCTCCTGCCTCAGCCTCCTGAGTAGCTGGGACTACAGGCATGCGCCACCATGCCCGGCTAATTTTTTTTCTATATATTTTCAGTTGTCCAGCTAATTTCTTTCTATTTTTAGTAGAAACAGGGTCTCACTCTTGCTCTGGCTGGTCTCGAACTCCTGAGCTCAGACAATCCTCCCTCCTCAGCCTCCCAGAGTGTTAGGATTACTGGCGTGAGCTACCCCACCCGCCTGTGTCTTGTTTCACTTACTCAACATATTGTTTCTAAGATGTATCCATGGGGTTCCATGTAGTTTTCTTCACCAGTGATGGTGACTCAGAAAGCTGATGTAGAGGGAAAAGAAATAGAAGTGTGCAGGTTTGGGCTTTCTAATAATCTCATTTTTGAGACCCACTGGCTAAGAGCTTATGATTTACATGCAAAATTTCTAGGAGACTAAAAGGTTTTAGATACAGACCATGGTCTCACAAATCACTGCAAATCCCAAAGACTTTGGCATAGTTATTCAAGGACTGTGCTGTGAGGGTTCATTCCAGCAGGAATTGGTCTGATCTACTTTGCTGACATACAAGGGTACCCACATGAGACTGACCCCAGGTCACAGAATAAAACGTATTGATTAATAGTTACTTTGTAATCATGGGTCCCAGGCACTCTGGGAGGGGTGTACCAGCTTTTCAGCATTGTTTATTGCTAACAGGAAGAGGGAAATTTTGCACTTGGTCTTGTGAGACCCCCAGAGGGCTCTGCTCTTGGGGCTGGTAATGTAGCAAGAAAAAGCCCAGGTGACCCTCACAGTATGAGAAACCCCAGCGCAAGATCCGTTTTGCACTTCCTGGGTCTGAGTGGTTTTGGGCACATGTTGACCCATTCCTGATTGTAAGAGAAAGCACACCCACACAGCACTCGGGGAGGGAAGGAAATTGCAGCTCATTCTTGGCGTCTCAGGATCCTTTTTTGCTGAGAAGTATAGCCTTACTTTAGTGCTATATATGATTGCTATATTACATTCTTTTCTTGCAATACACTGTAGATTTGTCAGTATTGTCATTTTGGGTTCTTTTAAAAAAGGACATCTTTGAATTCTTTGAATCTTAAATTCTTTTGAGTCAAGTGGTAGTGTTACAGCAAGTGTTAAGGCAAGTGCTACAGCTAGCATTACAGCTAGTATTACAGCTCTTGACCGGGAAAGAGTCGGAGAACAGTCTTTACTCTTCCAGCAGACGCAACCAACTTCTGACTTCTGACCCCCTTCCTTGTGCTCCTCCTGCTTTTATACCCTTGGTAGGACTCAAAAAGCGTCCAATCAGCAACAAGATCTAACATCCAATCAGCAACAAGCTTTAACATCCAATCAGCAACAGAAGGATTCAAAAAGTACCCAATCAGGATCACGCGAGCAGCGCTGGCCCAAGATGCGGAGCAGCGGGGAGGGGGCAAGCAGCCACGTCCTGGTGCCCAATGGTTTTCCCTGTCAGTAGTGTATTCAACTTTTTTTGTTGTTCTTTGATAAGGTGAAAGTCATTTTCATGCCATGTGCCATGTTTTATATGTGAAAAGCTACTGAGAGGGGGATTTTTAAAGTTTGAAAAAATTGCTTGCTTTTATGCTAATATCTGTTAAGTATTTACTTTCCAGTTTTATTTGTCATTGTGTTTATTAAGATTTACTTAGAAAACTCTGCCAATGAACATATGAAAAACATATGAAAAAATGCTCAATGTCACTAATCATCAGGGTAATGCAAATTAAAACCACAGTGAGATATCACCTTACAGCTGTTAGAATGGCTTTTATTTAAAAGTCCAAAAACAATAGATGCTGGTGTGGATGCAGAGAGGAAAGAACATTGATAGAATGTTGATGGCACTGCAAATTAGTATAACCTCTATGGAAAACAGTATGGAGATTCCTCAAAGAACTAAAAGTAGACCTACTATTCGATCCAGCAACCCCACTACTGGGTATTCACCCAAAGGAAAAAGGCCATTTTATAAAAAGACACTTGCACTCAGATGTTTGTTGCATTATAATTCACAATCGCAAAGATGTGGAATCAACCCAAGTGCCCATTAATTCATGATTGGATTAATAAAATGTAGTATATGCATACCATTGAATACTACTCAGCCATAAAAAAGCATGAATTAATGCCTTTGCAACAATTTGGGCGGAACTGGAGACCATTCTAAGTGAAGTATCTCAAGACTGGAAAATCAAACACCACATGTACTCACTATTAAATTGGAATTAATTGATGAGCACGCATGTGCACTAAGGAAGGTAAAACTCAGTGGAAGTCAAGCAGGGGAGAGGGAAGAAGAGAGGAGTGGAAAAAACCTACCTAATGGGTACTATGAACACTATCTGGGTGATGGGTACACTTTTAGCCCTGACTGAAGCATTATAAAAGCAATCCAGGTAACACAAAACATTTGTATCCCTTAATATTTTGAAATTTAAAAAAAGGATTTATTAGAAAACTCCACTTTTGTGGAAGTTTTACAAGTTTTGGCTCAGTCTATGAATGCGTATGCATTCACTTACCATTAAGATTCTGATGTTTTTACTAAGGCTCACAGAAAATCATTTAAGTTTATAATTTAAGTCCCCACTCTCACTTCCCTGTAAGATCTTCTCTACTTAAATAGGAAGGTACTTTGATTTCAGCACAGAAAACCCATTGTGGTCTGATCTAATATATGCTATTTGTAAATTATAAAATACTCAGGGAATTTTTTTCTCTGAAATGACATGATTCCAAGCAATAGTTTTCTTAAGCCTGTATTTATAGTAAACACATTTCTTTCTTTTGTTTCATGCAAACTGAATGATTCTACATTAAAATATCTATGAAACAGTCAAAAATAAATATTTTGGAGTTTTTAGTATCAGTATCTATAAATTAGTGCATAGATTTGAGTTGTTCCATTGTCTGCCTCCCTTAACAAGAAAAGATATGACATTTAAGCTGAGGATTTTCTATTGAGGCAAGAAGGTAGTCAACTTCAAGGAAAAGTGGAAAAAATACACTTTAACCTTGTCAAGGGAAAAATTTTAAAAGCAAAAAGGAAGCTGGGTTGAGTGGTATCCTTGGTGAATCACTAGAAACATTTACATAATTTAAAAAAATAATTTCAAATTAGCTTTTCAAGTAAAATTTCAAGTGAATATATTTAAGTTAAAAAGAACAAAAAAGCAACCCAAACCAGTAGCAAAAACAAGTTTACTCTTTATGTCCTATGCTCCTTGATGTAGATTGTGGGTGCAAAGTCATCTGGGATCCGTGCGTCTTACTTAGCCATGGAATCCTGACTGCAAGAACTCTTTGGCCAATGTCTAGTAACTGTAATGTTTGCCCAGGAATTTCCAGTATTCTCAAGAGTGAAGCGTTTTCATCACCTCGGCGTGAACCCTTCAGGCCAAAGTCTGAAGCATTTGGTGGGTCACCTGCCTGAGGCCTGAGATCTGACTGAGACAGGGCAGGATTTCCTGTGGATTAAGCTCTTGTAGACCTTTTCTGAGGAACCTGTCGCAATCAGGTTTCCTGAGTGTGGATGTGGGAGGAGTGAACTGAAAGACCAGAGCCCAGCGGTTACTGCCCACACCCTGGGGCTGGGCAGCGGCGGTGACAACGCCAGCTTTTCTCCCTTCCGTGGACTGCATGACCCAGGAAGGACCCCTGGACCGGCTGAAGAGCCACTATGATCCCTAAGCTACTGCCCTTCCTCTGTTTCAGTAAGTCTCACAGAGCTGCCCATGGGACGGTAGGAAATCCTGAGCTGCTTGCACTGGGGGCAGCAAGAGAAATAATAACATCAACTTTGGCTTACTGAGTGTTTTGAAGGCTTCTACTCTTCTCATTTCAATTTCTTGACTTTTGCTGAATGCCTCTACCAGCTAACTTCATCAGCTTAATGTTTTTCTCAGTATCAACTCAACCTTTTTGCTTAAGTAAAAGTCTTGAGGGTAGAAACTCTACAGCAGTACCATAAGGAAAAATCCAGTGTCAAACAGAAGGTAACTATAAAGCAAATCTAATGAAATGGAAACAGTGTTAGAGGATTCTAACTAGGTACTGCTGCTAGTTGAGGCTCCGAGCCTGAAACCGACTATTTCTTTGCTATCAAGGCAATTAGTCACGATGTCACAATTGGGATATCTCAGACACTAGCTTCAAGTAGACTTTCTTCTTGATATAATCAAAAGCACTATAGAAGATAATAAAAGGCAATAACTTACTTATGCTGTGATTCAATGCGTTAGTAATTCTTCCTTCCACCTAAAATTGTTGCATATAACACCACAGGATGTATTCGGCCCTTGTGATATACCACCTTGATCCTTAAAAATAAACAAACAAACAAACAAAAACTGCTGGAGAAAATTAGGTCCACTTTTACAGGTTAGGAATGGAATCTTAGTTTGCAAAGTGAAGTGAATTGCTTCGGATTGCACAGGTGCTGTGCAGGGAAGCCAAATTTCAACCTGGGTCCCTCTAGCTTGAAAAACATAGCTGTCTCCACTCAGCAGTGACAGTAAGCGGAGAGGGACATATTAATATCTACAGGGTCTTTGGTATGGCGGCATCCTGAGGGTGTTTGAAGGGAGGTGGGGTTGGAAAAACCTGAGGAGGTAAAAGTAATTCAGAACATTCCCAGCTTTGGAGCCAGGATGCAAGTTAAATAGAGTATGTTCAGTATGCAAATAAAGCTTGATATTCACAAAAGCACGAGGGAAGGAGGACTTGCCTTGATGTCATTTGCACTTGGCTTTTTCCAACCACCAGAATTCTGTGACCCCAAGACTTTAGGTCACTTTCCTTCTATCAGAGGCCTGTCTCGGGAAGATATTTTTTCAGGGGGAACTACAGGGACACGGTGAAAACAGCACATGTTCTGGAACCTCCTCTCCTGCATGCACTGGTTGTGGGGTTTTAGGGAAAGTGTTAATATTTAAGGCTCAATTTCTTTATCTTTTAGGGTTAACTTCACAATTAGGTTCATATATGCATAATGTAAAGCATGTAGTCAGTGCTTAATAAATGATATATATATATATATATTTTTTTTTTTTGAGACAGAGTCTCACTTTGTTGCCCAGGCTAGAGTGAGTGCCATGGCGTCAGCCTCGCTCACAGCAACCTCAATCTCCTGGGCTCAAGCGATCCTCCTGCCTCAGCCTCCCCAAGTAGCTGGGACTACAGGCATGCGCCACCATGCCCGGCCAATTTTTTGTATATATATTTTTAGTTGGTCAATTAATTTCTTTCTATTTTTGGTAGAGACGGGGTCTTGCTCAGGCTGGTTTCGAACTCCTTGCCTTGAGCAATCCGCCCGCCTCGGCCTCCCAAAGTGCTAGGATTACAGGCGTGAGCCACCGCGCCCGGCCAATAAATGATATTTTTATGTTTATGATTCCTTCTCTGATGTGGTTGGGCAGTGATTTCATTAGCAATTCTCTCTAGATATTTTCCCTGGGTGTACAGATGAAGATTTAATTGCTTTACATGGCGGACTAGTACTCCACTGTAGGTACAGATCATATGGTGTCTGCCTGTCCATCTGTTGATGGACACAGACGGGTGTTTCCATCTTCTTCTCTCCAATGAGAAGATTAACTCTTTCCTTCTCATTTTATCTTTGAGAGACAGCGAGCTCTTAATAAGCTCCCTGTTGTTCTCCCAAGAAACGAGGCCTCTAAGCCTCTAAGTGTTTCCTGCCATTGCTCAGGTATGACCTGCTGAAGACAGCGGTGAGATTAGATGAGGTCTTCAGGGGCGTATGGGAGGGTATGATAAATCCCACATGACCCAAGGCTGTGTCCGACCACCATCCACCTCCCGCCAACTCTCCAAAGCCCTCAACCCCCACAGGGTGACAGAGCACGGGAGGCCATTGAAGAGGGACCTGTCCTCCCTTGCAGGCATTTGGGATCTAGAGAAGGGGCCAGGATTGTGAAGGCTTTGAATCTCTGTAGATCTGAGAATGTCCTATGAGCCAGGAGAGAGTAGATCCTGACTTTTGAGTCAGAATAACAACTCCCTCGTGAATTGTTCCATGATATCCCAAATTTGTTTGTTTTCCTTAACTTTGTTTCAGTGAGATTGGACTCCCACTCTCTCTGGGCAGCTTACACAGCCTATAGACCTTCTAAGTCCTTAAGACTTTACACTCTCTTGCAGAAGAGCTTGAGTTCCTGCCGTCCACTTTGCCCTTTGCCGTGATGTGACACTGATGTCTATGCTGATGGTCTTGCACTTTCCACGCAGAATTGCAGTTACAGGTGAAGTGGCACCTACTTGCCACCCAGCATGGGCTGTGCTAGAGACCAGGCTCTCTGCCCAGAGCTGGGGTCGTGCTGCTTCCCAGGTGCAGCTCTGGGGTGGGAGCAGGTGTCTGCAGGTGTCAGTCTCTCAAGCCTTTTCCTTTTCCCTTCTCTGTGGATCCACTGATTATAAGACACAGTTTTCAATACCTCTAAACACATCCATTACTTTTCCTTTTTCATTATGGTAAAATATACATAACACACTAGCTATCAGTTTAACCATTTGTGAGCATACAGTTCAGTGGCAGGGAGTGACATTCTTTTTTTTTTATTTTTTACTTTTTATTTTGGCATATTATGGGGGTACAGATTTTAAAGTTTCAATAAATGCTCTTTCCCCCCTCTCCCCAAGTCTGAGTCTCCAGCATGACCATCCCCCAGATGGTGCACATCTCACTCATTATGTATGTATATACCCGCCCCCTCCCCCCTCCCCCCTGCCCAATACCCTATTACTGTGACTATGTGTCCACTTAGGTCTGCTCAGTTAGTACCAGTTTGCTGGAGAGTAGTATGTGGTGCTTGTTTTTTCCATTCTTGGGATACTTCACTTAGTAGTATGGGTTCCAGCTCTAACCAGGAAAATATAAGATGTGCTATATCACCTTTGTTTCTTGGAGCTGAATAGTACTCCATGGTATACATATACCACATTTTATTAATCCATTCTTGGATTGATGGGCACTTGGGGCTGTTTCCACATCTTACAATTATGAATTGTGCTGCTATAAACATTCGAGTGCAGGTGTCTTTTTTGTAGAGTGTCATTGGATCTTTTGGGTAGATGCCCAGCAATGGGATTGCTGGATCAAATGGTAGATTCACTTGTATCGCTTTAAGGTATCTCCATATTGAAGTGACATTCTTTTTTTTTTTTTTTTTTTTTTGAGACAGAGTCTTGCTTTGTTGCCCAGGCTAGAGTGAGTGCCGTGGTGTCAGCCTAGCTCACAGCAACCTCAAACTCCTGGGCCTCAGCCTCCCAAGTAGCTGGGACTACAGGCATGTGCCACCATGCCTGGCTAATTTTTTCTATATATATTAGTAGGCCAATTAATTTCTTTGTATTTATAGTAGAGACGGGGTCTTGCTCTTGCTCAGGCTGGTTTTGAACTCCTGACCTCAAGCATTCCGCCCGCCTTAGCCTCCCAGAGAGCTAGGATTACAGGCATATGCCACTGCGCCAGGCCTGGAGTGACATTCTTAATGTTGCATAACCATCACTTCTATCTACACCAAAGCCTTTTCTTTCATCCCTGTATTAATTGGGGTTCTCCAGAGAGACAGAACCAATAAGACATGTATCTGTGTATCCATATATTAGAGATATAGAGATACAGATAAAGACACGTATCTAGAATGAGATTTATTCTAAGGAATTGGCTCATGCAGTCACAGAGGTTGAGAATTCTCATGCCTGTCTGGAGACCCATCTGTCAGCTGGGAGGCCAGGGGCATAAACTCCAGTCCACGGGCAGGAGAGGACCAATCTCTCTACTCGAGCAGTCAGGCAGAAAGAGAGAATCTGACCTTCCTCCACTTTTTTATTTCATTCTACCCCTCAACAGAATGCCCACCGACATTAGGCAGAGCAATCTGCTTTACTCAGCCCACCGATTCCAGTGCTAACCTATCTGGACACTTTCACAGACACGCCCAGAAATTATTTCACCACATGTCTGGGCATCCCATGGCCCAGTCAAGTTGATACATAAAACTCACAATCACAACCCTCAACACAAACTCTGTACCCATCAACCAGTAACTTCCCTTTCTCCCCTTTTCTCCCAGCCCCCTGTAACCTCTATTCTACATTTTTTTTTTTTGAGACAGAGTCTTTCTCTGTCACCTGGGCTGAGTACCCTATATCAGCCTAGCTCACAGCAACCTCAAACTCCTGGCTCAAGTGATCCTCCTGCCTCAGCCTCCCCAGTAGCTGGGACTACAGGCATGCACCACCATGCCTGGCTAATTTTTCTTTTTTTGTTTTTTTTTTAGTAGAGATGGGATCTCAATCTTGCTTGGGCTGGTCTCGAACTCCTGACCTCAAGTGATCTTCCTGTCTCAGCCTCCCAGTGCTAGGATTACAGGTGTTAGCCACCATGCCTGGCCTCCGCCTCCTTTACTTTATTTTCCTATCTGGCCCCACTTCCCCACACATTAGCCTCAGTCTGTACTGGAGGATGTTGATATTCAGAGATTGACCTTAAAGTCACTGGAATATGAATGTAAATGATCTAACTTTGTTCGGATGAGAACAACATGGAATAACGTGCTTCATGCATAAACATCTCATGGTATCCACAAAGTATTAAGGGTGTGGAGACCTTAGTCAATGGGGTAATGTGTTGGCCATCTACAGCTGGTGTCTAATCTCTCACTTTTCTTTCTTTTTTGGGCAGAGGTGGGTGGGCAGACAGAGTCTCTCTCTGTTGCCTGGGCTGAGTGCTGTGGCATCAACCTAGCTCACAGCAACCTCAAACTCCTGGGCTCAAGCGATCCTCCTGTCTCAGCCTCCCAGAATACTAGGATTATAGGTGTGAGCCCCTGCGCCCAGCCTATTCTAGTTTCTATCTCTATGAATTTACTTATCCTAGGTACTTTGTATGAGTGGAATTGTACATCATTTGTCCTCTTGTGCCTGTCTCATTTTATGGAGAATAGTATCTTCAAGGTCCATCCAAGTTGTAGCAGATGTCAAAAGTCCCTTCTTTTTTATGGCTGAATAATATCACATCGTATGTATAGATCGCATTTATTTATTTATTCATCCATTGATGAACATTTCGGTTGTTTCCACCGTTTGGCTATTCATTACTTCCTTTTTCAAAACATGAACTGGCATTTTTTGTGATTGGCTCATGCATGTAATATTAGCACAAAGTCCTGGCAACTTCCCCTTTTTACTACCAAGACACAAAACTGTTTACTCCACACAGGTGGAAAAAGAGGAAATTTCTTACAAACATGCATCTAAACAACCTTCTTTGAGTTAGGTCAATCTCTTTATTATGGTAATGTTCATAACCAGGCTTGATGTTAATTTTATTTTATTATTTATTTATTTATTTTTTGAGACAGAGTCTCACTTTGTTGCCCAGGCTAGAGTGAGTGCCATGGCATCAGCCTAGCTCACAGCAACCTCAGACTCCTGGGCTCAACCGATCCTGCTGCCTCAGCCTCCTGAGTAGCTGAGAGACTAATTTAATATTATTTCCAATACAATATAAGTTGGCAATATAAATACTTCTAGTTATGGTAAGAAGACATAGTGCTGTCTCGCTCTAAATTGTGCATACAAGGCTAGATTTCGCCTACGTGTAGCCTTCGCAGCAATAATAACGCAGCCGCCTCAGACCTCCCAGAGTGCTAAGATTCATAAATGGCGGAGCCACCGCGCCCGGCCTTGATGTTAATTTTAAAGAGATCTTAGCAACTCAGGCAAAACAGCATCCCCTACATCTGGGATTTATGGCAGGATGGCTGTGAATGGTCAAATAAGTGTAAAATCACTTTCACTTGGAAGCTTCTAAGCCAACTGATTTTGAATAGCTGCGCTGCAGTCTCGAGAAACGTCTGTCCAGGTTCATTTGGAGCCATGATTCTCCACCTTCGCTGCACACCCATGCCACCTGCCGAACCTTGAAAAGAACGGATACTCGAGCCCCCAGGAGTCTGACTAGAGGCTTCTGTGGTTGGCTCTGTGAGCTGGAATTTTTACTGGCTCCCTAGGAGAGCCCAACGAGTAGCCAAGACTAAGACCGACCGAGCTGTAGATGAAAGGTTAACACTGCCTGAACTAGTTCTTCCCAATGATAGGGGCTTGTTCCATCTTTGAGCCAAATGCTGACCCCACCGAATGGCTGTTGGTGATTACGGTGAGGTAGCAGAAGCTGAGTTAACCTGGTGGGAGGAAGATGGGGAGTTCGGGGAAGGTTCTGGCTCTTCACATCCTTGTAAAATCTCTCCCCGTCACGCCTAAACTGGGGTGTAGCATCAGGCAGTCAACGTGCATTTGTTGGTGATCTATGATGTGCGAGGACCTGGGTGGACACGGGCAGCAGAGTCCTGCCTCCCAGGTGCTCACAGGTAGTGACATCTGTGTCTCTTATGCCAAGAGGTACATGCACTTCTGTAAACTCTCCTAAGAAATGATGACCAGATGCCTTCTGTCTTGATTTATGTCACCTGAGACATCAATTAAGCCTTTGCTGTGCAGGTTACTCTTTTACACAAGACTTTCAGGAGACCCCATGCCTACTTAGGGTCTCGATACCATCAGGAATTAAGCCAGGGTCACACGCAGCCCCACATTTCCCCAGGGTGCTGTGTGGTAAGTGGCTCCCCTCCTGGGTGGGAGCGGGGGAACCTAGACAATATAACACAGGCTCCCTAGCACTCTGGGAGGCCGAGGCAGAAGGATCACTCAAGGTCAAGAGTTCAAAACCAGCCTGAGCAAGAGCGAGACCCCATCTCTACTATAAATAGAAAGAAATTAGCCAAACAACTAAAAATATATAGAAAAAATTAGCTGGGCATGGTGGTGCATGCCTGTAGTCCCAGCTACTCGGGAGGCTGAGGCAGGAGGATCGCTTGAGCCCAGGAGTTGGAGGTTGCTGTGAGCGAGGCTGACGCCACGGCACTCACTCTAGCCTGGGCAACAGAGTGAGACTCTGTCTCAAAACAAAACAAAACAAAAACAATTTAACACAGGCTCTAAGAGAAATGGTAAGAGTGAGCACCGCTAGGGAATAGAAGATGAAAAAGGAAGGATTTGTGGAATCATGTGGAGCCAAGAAGGGACCTGGAGTGTTGTAGGTGCGAGAAACAGAAGACTTGGGAGAATCTCTGAGAACAACAGAGGAGCTGAGATGAGAGCTGGAGCCACAGTCCAGCGTGGGGACAATAGGAACTGAATGCATGACTGCTGGAGTCTGTTCTCAGCAGGAGCTCTCGGGTGGTCCCCAGGGATCGGGGCAGGGTCGCGCTGTGGCCCCGGGCAGGTGTTCACGGCTCATGGAAGATTCTCTTGCAGGGCTGTGTGTTGGCCAAGGAGACATAAGGGGAAATGGTGAGTGTTTCTAACCCTCCTTGGTCCCTCATCCCAAATTCCCCTCCCCCCTTTCCCTCCCCTTCTTTTTTTTTTTTTTTTTTTTTTATGATTTTAAAAATTGGACGATTGTTCTGGGCCCAAGAGAGGGGGGCCCCAGAAGGTCGCCCCGCCCTTCCTTTAAATGGGTCCTGAGGCACGGGTGAGCGATCCAGACCCAGCCAGGCTCTGGCGTTCGTTCCACGCGGTCCGGCTCCCGCGAGTCCCTCCTCGGTCTGGCCCAGTCGCGTGGCCCCAGCCGGCAGGCAACGTGTCTGTTGTTCTTGGACTTTGTCCTTAGGCGTGCGCACTCTTGCTCTCAGACAAGGGCAGGGGCGTGCTGCGTGGAGCTCGCGCGGTCACCTGGTTCCCCGAGAGGGCGCCGGGGCTGAATTCAACCTCGCTGACCTGCCAGATCAGAAAACGCGGGAGGAGTACACCTGGCGAATACTACAGACAGGGCGCCCCCGACACAAGGTCACGCGCAGCGAGGCGTCCTTCTGCTGTTGTCCACAGGTGAGACGGGCGCCTTGGAATGACGGTGGCGATTCCCTGGGGAACCGGGGGAGAGGAAGTAAGGGGTCGTCTCCAGGTATTGGGGCATGGCGCGAGACAGAGACAGGGGGGCAGAATGTTGAAGAGCCTGGGGTTTTATCCGCGGACTTGCGAGGAGGGAACATCTCCTTTCCTGGGAGTCGACGTGGCAAGAGGGAGAGATCAGGCTGTCTGATAACCTCCTGTCCCTCCACGGAACCCGCCGGGAGAGCCAGGGTGAGTGCGGGACCCGAAGGCATCCTCGGACCCCAGAGCCCAATTCTGCGTTACAGTCCACTATACCTAACCCTTCCCCTCAGCCGCTCTTACGCAGGGTCTAGGGGTACTGCGGAGAAAAGGTGACTCTGCAGTGCCAGATGCCAGGTCATTTCGTTGTGCCGATGATGTTTGCTCTGCTGAAGGGAACTTGCATCGGCCCCGTACAAGGTCCGGGCTCGAAGGAAGGAGCACCCCCCCCCCCCCCCCCCTCCCCCCCCCCGCCCCCCCCCCCCCCCCCCCCTGACTTTCTCCCCTTGGGAGCGTGACAGCTGGTGACACGGGGAAGTACAGCTGTGTGTACTACCAGACAAGGGCTCCTTTCTGGGCCCTCCAGGACCCAGGTGATCAGACTTCGGAATCTCGGTGATGGGTAAGGTTTTGCATGATTTTGAAGAAGCGTTTTTGTTTTAAATCAGAGATGTTTGTTATTCTGTGATTCTCATTTCTTTTTTTTTTTATTTCAAAATACTAAGGGGTACAAATGTTTTATGTTACTATCGGATCACTTTGTAATGCTTGGAAGTCCAGCTATAGGTGTACCCATCACCCAAATAGTGTCCATAGTACCCATTAGGTAGGTTTTCACCCCTCCCTCCTCCCTCCACGCCCTGCTTGATTTCCACTGAGTTTTAGTTGCCTCTGTGCAGCGATGCGTTGCTCATCGTTAGTGTTCCAATGTTAATAGGTGAGTACATGTGGTATTTGATTTTCCAATCTTGAGATGCTTCACTTAGGAGAACGGTCTCCAGTTTCATCCATATTGTTGCAAAGGCCTCAATTCTTCCGTCTTCATGGCTGAGTAATCCACGGCGGAGTAGCACTATGACCACATTTTTATTAATCTAGTTGGAATTGAGGGCTTGGGTTGATTCCACATCTTTGCATTGTGAAGTTGTGCTGCCGCAATAAACATTGAGTACATGTGTCTTTTTGAGAAAACGAGTTCGTTTTCCTTTGGGTAGATACCCAGTAGTAAGATTGCTGGATCAAATGATAGGTCTACTTTCATTCTTTGAGGAATCTCCACACTGTTTTTCATAGAGGTTGCACTAACTTGTCTCACCAACAGCGTGTAAGTGTTCCCTTCTCTCTGCATCCATGCCACTACATCTATAGTTTTGGACTTTTTAAGTAAAAGCGAAGTCTAACAGGTGGTAAGGTGATATCGCTCATGTATAGTTTTGAATTGCATTTTCCCTGATGATTAGTGACCTGTTGAGTCATGTATTGTTTCATATGTTTTGTTGGCCATTTGTCTATCTTTCCTTTTGAAAAGCTGTCTGTTGTCGATGTCTTTTGCCCACTTTTTAATGGGGTTGTCTTTTTTTCTTGCTGATTTGCTTGAGTTCTGTAGTAGGATGGTGACGTGATAGTGTAGCGAATATTCTCTCCCATTTTGTAGGTTGCCTATTTGCACTGTTGTTTATTTCCTTAGCTGTGCAGAAGCTTTTTAGTTTAATCAAATCCCATTTATTTATTTTTGTTATTGCTGTAATTGCCATTGGGGTCTTAGTCATAAAGTCTTTGCCTAGGCCGATATCTAGAGTTTTTCCTACATTTTCTTCAAGAATTCTTATGGTTTCATGCCTTACATTTAAGTCTTTTGTCCATCTTGAATTAATTTTTGTAAGCGGTGAGAGATAGAGGTCCTGTTTCACTCTTCTACATGTGGCTATCCAGTTTTCCCAGCACGTTTATTGAATAGGGATTCTTTTCCCCAGTGTGCGCAGTGGTGCGTTGTTGTCTGCTTTTGCAAGATCAGTTGCTGGGATTCCATTTCTTCATCACTTGCACTGTCATCCCCTCTTAAAACTTACCTTATATCAATATCTCGCTACTCCTTTTGCCCGTTTGTTGTTGTTGTCCGCATGTCTTGATAGCTTATCATTTCTATCTGCTCTTCTTTCAATTATAATCCCTCTACCATGTGTTATATATATCCCATTTCATCAAAATGTGCATACTCACTATTTTTTTTTTTGCTTTTTTTGAGACGAGAGTCTCGATTTCTGTGCCTAGGCACGACGTGACGTGCCACGCGAGCCGTTCATGCGCCTAGCTCACAGCAACTACTAAATAATCCTGGGCTCCTAACAAAGTCTCTGCCTCAGCCTCACACCAGTTGCCTGGGACTTTAGGCAGCGAGCCACATTCTCTGACTTTTAAGACCCAAAAAAACTTATGCAAGCTAATTATATATCTATTTAAGCCTAGGCAAATCACATACAGTAAACTTTTATAAATAAATATAGAAGCTGTGGGCCCAAGTCATATCTTGTTTCTATTCTAATCTCATGTTTAATAGTAAGTTCAGACGGGGTCCTCGCTCAGGCTGGGTATTTGAACTCCTGACTTGGAGCAACCTCCGCCGCCTCCACCATACAACTACGGCTCGCACAGAGTCGCTAGGATTGACAAGTAAATGTGACCAGCGGCCGCATCCTGCATATGCTTCTACAGCATGACCACCCTATATCGAAACATCTATATTAAGGGTAGCATATCTTAAGTGAAATAATTATATCTCTTATTAAACCTATTCAAAGAAGCATAAACATGTTGGCCTGAAACGGACAAATGTACAACTCGAAATATAGTTCAATCAGTATCTTTTTAGGTTATTGCGTGGTTCTTAGCGGATAAGTGGAGAGTCCTCTCAGATATTTGGCGTTGTATCAAGCAAGTCAGATTTAACAGGCAGGCAGCTGTAGACCGAGTCTGACAGGCGGGCGGAGAGCAGGGTACGCGGCTATCTACGGATCAACAGGCATCCAGATTTGGCACGAGTATTCTATCTATTCCATCTCTGTTGCCGGTTCCAGGAAGCGCCGTCAGACAATCACCCGAGGAAATCCTCGTCGTTGATTAACTCTCTTTGGTCAAAATCCTCCTTTCTCACCATGCATAGTCAGAAGCAAGTTCTAGACAGCAAGAAACAGCAGCGGCCAATGACTACGTCTGTAAGGCATGCGCCTGCGCAATCCCAGCTAACGATTACCTTGGAAAGCCGCCCGCACCAACAGCCGTCGGCAATCATGCTACCTCGGGTTTCCCTCAGCAGGCTGGGTGAGCACGCTGGCAGCAGAGCCACAGTATGCTGGCTCACCAGCTACGGCAAGTAGCAGCCAGCCAGCCCAGAACGCGGAGATCCTGGGCTGGCAGGGCTCCTGGCCACCCGTCCGTCAATCACTTTCCTGAAAGTTTCTCATTTTACGAATGGGCTTGCCACTCATCCAATCACATACCCGCAGCGATACTGCAGAATACCCTTTGTAAAGCATGTGGACGGCCGTAGCTCACCTGCCAGCTACGTGAAAATCTTAGACTTTCTTCCCTCAGTTGAGGAAGTGCCGCTAATGATCACTGTGCGGCCTCACTACAAAGACAAAACACCCACTGATCAGAGAGGGCTGTATACGCCACTGGATTCCTGTCCGGGGGACGGTTGACTGGTACCACACCCGGCCCATCCCAAGACACACTATACAACTTTTTACTATTGTATTTATTTATTTTTGAGAGGCAAGGTCCCTCACTTTGTGCACCGGGGCTCACGAGGGTTCCGTACGAGGTGTCCGCCCTGAGCTCACTGCCAACCTCGAATCCTGGGCTCAAGCAATCCTACCTGTCTCAGCCTTCTCCTGGACATGCCTGGGACTCAGCAGGATAGTGACTATCAGTCCAGGCGCTA